CAGGAGTTCTTCCTCTTTTATTACAACTTTTCTAGAAGTCTAAAACTATTTCAAAATAAAAGACTACCAAAAAGAGAGGAAATCCCTAGTTTGCTAAGAGTTTTAAATCATGAAAAGATGTTGAATTTTATTAAATTACTTTCCTGCATCTACAGGGAGGAATGTATGCATTTTCTTTTAGACCATTAATTGGGTATAGAGTAAGATTTTAAGGTTAAACCAACTTTGAATACTTGAAATAAACACATATTTTATGTATAATATATTATTGAGTTTGTTTTGCTGATATTTAATTTAGAAGTTTTTTTCATCTTTGATAAGAGAGAGACTGGTCTGTAATTTCCTTTCTTGTAATGACCTCAGGTTTGGGGATCAGCACGTTATTGGCCTCATAAAATAAATTATCATTTCCTTTTTCTGTTCTCTGAAAAAGTTTGTATATGATTGGTATTACTTCTTCCTTAAATATTTAGAAGAATATACTGGTGAAGTCATCAAGTTATGGAGATTTTTGGGAGAAGATTTTTTTTTTAAATTTTTGTTAATGTTTATTTATTTTTGAGAGAGAGAGAGACAGAGAGACAGACAGAGCATGAGAGGGGAGGGGCAGAGAGAGAGGTAGATACAGAATGTGAAGCAGGCTTCAGCTCCGAGCTGTCAGCACAGAGCCCAACGTGGGGCTCAAACTCATGGACCCTGAGATCATGACCTTAGCTGAAGTCCGACACTAAACCGACTGAACCACCCAGGTACCCCTATTGTGTGAATATTTTTAATCACTATTTAGTTTCTTTGGTTGATAGGACTACTTCTTTGCTGTCACTTATTGTAAGGTGGGTTGTTCTGGAAATTTCCCATTTCATCGACATTTTCAAACTTATTGACATTAGGTTTTCTAAAATATTTTCACTTCAACTTGTAATGTCTGTAGGATTTACGGTGATTTCCAAGCCTGATAAAGGTAATATGTACCCTTTTTGTTTGTGTGTCTGTTTTATATGTGTGAACTGTCTTGCTATCGATTTACCAGTTCTATTATTTTTTTAGTGACTCTTCTCCACATTTTTCATTAATTTTTTCCTCTTCACTTTATCTTTACATTTTTTTGCTTTATTAATTTTTTAAAGCTTATTTACTTATTTTGAGAGAGACAGAGAGAGTGTGAGTGGAGGAACAAGAGGGGGGGGAATCTCAAGCAGAGCTGAAACCAACAGTCGGATGCCCCACCAACAGAGCCACCAGGTGCCCCTATCATTACCATTTTTATACTTTCTTCAGGGTCAATTGTTCTTTTCCCCATAAGTTCTTGAGATGGATACTTAGGTAATTCTTGTTTAAAGCTATACATTTCAGCCCTTAAGATGATAAATTCCTCACCAAAAACAGTTTTAGCTGTGTTAATGTGTCATATTTTTATTTAGTTTAAAATATTTTTTCATTTCCATTGTTATTTTTTCTTCGACTGATGGATTATTTACAAGTATATTGCCTAATTTCTTGGAAACTTTGCAGTTTTAAAAAAAAAATGTTGACTGCTAACTTAACCCTCTCTGCTCAAAGAACATACTCTGTATGATTTCAGTCTTTTGAAATATGGTGACTCTTGCTCTATGGCCTAAGTGATTGTCACTTTTAGTAAATGTTCAATGCTCACATGAAACAAAAGTAATTCTGCAGTTGTTGCATGAACTATTCCATATGGATTAATTGTGTCAATTTTGTTAGTCATGTTTAAATGTTGTGTACCCTCACTAATTTTTTCTCATTCTTTCCAACACTGAGAGATGTATTAAAGACTCCTGCTGTGATTATAGATTTGTCTATTGCAGTTTCTGCAGTCCTTTTGCTTTAAAGGACTTTGCTTTTAAATAAAGTTATCACACTTTATTTCTAACAATGCTTCTTTCCTTAGAGTCTACTTTATATATTATTGTATAGCTATCCCAGCTTACTTTGGGTTAGTGTTTGCATAAGATGTCTTTGTTTCACCTTAAACTTTTTTGTGGTATTAGTTTATTTATTAATTTATTTTTCTCTGTCTAGGATTTTATTAGACTAATGTTTTCCCCAATATACCTGTTTTGGAAGATGGAGTCAAAAAGGTACAAACTCCAGTGAAATAAACAAGGTAACCTAATCAGTTCTACAAAGTGTATTTTGTAAAAGAAATAGTACTCAGAACCAACCAAAGAAGCCAGGGAGTCCCAGCATGGACTATAAGAGAACTTGGGAAGATATACTTATGCCCACAATACTGACCCTGTCCCTGACCTTTCTCCAGAAGACCGGAGTCCAGGAGCCCCCAACCCCCTTACAGAGGTACTGCTGCTTCTGGGACTGGGACTACGGCCTTGGAAATCTAATGGGAGTAGCTGGTCTGAAGGGGCATGGCACACCCTCAGGTACTTCTGTGGTATAATTTTATTTTATTTTATTTTTTAAAGTTTATTTATTTATGAGAGATAGAGACAGCATGGGTGGGGGAGGAGCAGAGAGGGAGGGAGACAATAATTTTATATTGTAACTTTTATATCTTTTGTAAACAGTATATATATACTTATAATATGATATTATTAAATATATATTTAAAACTGATTTGGGAATCTCTGTTTCTTAATGGAATGGTATGCCATTTACATTTATGGCGATTAAAGATATATTTGGATTCATAGCTAACATCTTACTATTTTGTTTTCTATTTATCCTACTTGTTACTTGGTCCTTCTTTCTCGCCTTCCTTTGACTTAATTGACTACTTAGAAAAATTATTCTGCTATCTTTCTTCTATTTATACATTATATTGTTTATGCATAATTTTACTATTCTCTTAACAGTAACCTTGAGTTTATAATATATACCCTTGACTTGTTTCAGCTTAGCATAAATTAATACTTTAACTGCTTTTGAGGCAAGATATCCTTGCTGGCAACCTCATCAGAGGTATATACTATCCTGATCTGTTATCTAGGAATAGACGTAGGTCTTTACCATTTATGGAAACTGACTCCTGTCTGGTTCTCTATCCTTCTGGGTTCAACAGATCCCAATTCTCCTGAAGTGAAGTCACTCCTCTTTGCTTAGAAATCCGTCCCCTGCCAGAGAGCTATGTTTTCTGCCTCCCTGAGGCTTTAGAAAATCACCATCTTAACCCTCCCTCTAGAGCAGAGAAGGGAAAAATACTTCTCTTCTTACTATGATAAACTTATTGATAAGAAAACAGGATACAATTTCTTAATCCACTATCCTCTCATACCTACTAATATATTGGGTTTTTTTTTTAATGTTTTTTATTTATTTCTAGNTGAAAATCTGTATACAGAGTTATAAATTACAATGTTACTTATAGTAGTGCAAAGAGTTTTTAACAATAGGGATTTAGTTAAGCTCACTGTAGCTTCATGAAACTATTGAAATACTTATGAATTTTATTTTTTTTTTAATTTATTTCTAGAAGAGAGAGAGAGAGAGAGAGAGACAGCGTGAGCAGGGGAGGGTCAGAGAGAGAGAGAGTCACAGACTGAAACAGGCTCCAGGCTCTGAGCTGGCAGTCAGCACAGGGCCCGACGCGGGGCTCGAACCCACGAACCGCGAGACCATGACCTAAGCAAAAGTCGGATGCTTAACCGACTAAGCCACCCAGGCTCCCCTAATATATTGAGTTTTAAATCTAACCATAATCACAATATTTCCCTGGGAAATTAATTCTAAGTTACAAACACTTATCCTTTAGGGAAATTTTAGAACCCAATCTAAACACAATGTGTATAATAGCATTTTTCTGACTTTATTTCGGGGAAGGAAAAATTGCAGAGACCAATGATAAGGCCTCTCGTTACTATAGGAAATTCTGGTTACTTTACTTCAGGGTTTTGCTTCAACACTAACATTTAAAAATGAGTGAAAATGAGGGAATGTATGATCTCTTACCAAATTGCGTGATATTTTTGTGCCTGTAGTTGTTTTCGTTAGGACACAAATGACATAGAGATAGAGAAGGGTAATAAAAGATATAATTCCCTGAGGCACACTGTAAAGTTAAAAAATGCAGTCATAAATACAGATGGAGGTAAGTTTTAATTTAGAGAACTGTTTTGAGTGTTATAGTACTTAGGCCAAAGAGCCATGAGATTATGGCCTGGTTCAATAAAAAATATCTTATGATTTTCCTGAAAGTTCCTTGAGAAACTCTTCAAACACAAAAGTGGTAGTAGTTTTGACCTAGCAGCTACTGCTTTTGCTAAAAGTAAGCATACTGATTCTGAAATTGATCTCATTCTTCAATACCCAACTTTTGGTTCTGAGGAGAACTAAATACTAGAATGAAGGCAGAATCTTAACAAGGTACATTTGTGTGTGGCTACGTAGCATAGCATAAGAGGAAATGTTTTTCTAAAATAAATTGTAAGTTTGGACTAGGATCATCTGAAAACTGGAAATGATCTATAAAACAAGTCCATAGTCATAAAATAAAATTTTAAAATCTGCTTTTACTCATAAGAGATTTTCCACACTTAATCATTCAAGAGCTGATTATCCAGAATGTGTAATATACAAACCCGCTATTTCTTTTTTTCCCTTCTGCTGCCTGAATTTTGGTCATTTCACAGCTCATTACTATTCTCTCTCTGGGAAAATAAAAGCAAATGTAGCTCCAACTAGTATTTTCAGCTTTCTAGATAAAGGCTTTATAGGAAGGGTAATAATTATTGGTTTATAGATCACTTTTCTTTAATAAGTATCTGGTTAGACTCCACTGGGCACAGGGGAAGGATTTTAAAAGTTCAAGACATAAATAAATAAATAAATAAATAAATAAATAAATAAATAAAAGTTCAAGACATTCTCCCTGATCTTAAGGCTCTTACAATATAATCAGAGAAACAGGGTTTGTGTACAATAAAGCTAAATATTAATGCAAGGCAATATATACTTAAACAACAACATGAAAGAATTCTCTTCATACGAACATAGTATATAAGAGAGCTTTATTTTTTCTTTCTACTTCTCAGTATCTAAAATGTGGCTCCAGCATACTGAGAAGAATGAGTCATTTTGATAGAATCATCATAGAATACAAAAGAACTTTATAGACCTATTGTGGTTTAGAAAAGGGAGAGCATAGTATGGACTGACAAGATTGTCATAGAAATTCTCAATAAGGTAGTGAGACTTGAGTTAAATATCAAAGAATGGATGGAATTTTAACGTGGGGAAAAAGGGGGGGAAGAAATTTCTGCACAAAGGAAAAAAATCCCATAATTCTACCATTAAGCCCATTTATATATTTAAATGAAATATTTCAAGCATATAGGATATAGAAAATAATATTACAAACTCATCTTTCCTATATAGGATATAGAAAATAATATTACAAACTCATCTTTCCTACCAATTTTTCTCAAACCTTTACTTTTTGCCATATTTGTTTCCAATCCACTTTTCGGCGGGGCGAGGGTGGGGGATAATACAGAGTTGGCTAAAGGCTTCTGCATGCTCTATCATTATCTTTCTTTTTCAGCAGAGGTAACAACTATCCTAAATTTACAGTTATTATGACTTCGAGTATTTTTAACTGTTTATCACACATGGAAATACGTACTATTATTCCATGGGTCAAAAGTTAATGTAAATGGTAACATGCTTTATGGGTCTCCTGCCACTCTTTTGTTTTCACTAGATATTCTAGTTTTTGAGATTGAGGCATATTATAGCTCCAGTTCTAGTTTACTTATTTTAACTACAATATAGTATTCCACTGTGTGGTCATACAACAATTTCCTTAACCATTCTCAGGATGATAAACATTTAGGTTGTTTCCAATTCTTTTCCCATTACACAGGATGCTTCAAGGAGTCGTCATTTATATGACTCCTTATGCGTTGAAGGGAGAGTTTCTTGCATATATATATATAGAGAGAGAGAGAAATGGAATTGTTAGATTGTAAGATAAGGACATCTTGCTTTTTAATAGATGTTGCTAGATTGCCTTCTAATGTAATTGTACCAATTTATTTTCCACTCAGTAGTATGTAAGAGTTCCCATATCTTCCTTACCTTTGCAATTTTGCTAACTACAGCACAGGCATGGAACCATCAGCGTACCCTGGAATTGATTCCAGGGCTATTTGTGTCGGTGACGCTCAGAGTTGGATCTCGTTATAAGGCAGCCTGGCCCAGGCTTACAGGAGATAGAAGTCCTCTCCAAGAGAACTGGGGAAGAGTAAAGAAAGGATGATATAGTGGCTGGAGACTGCACGGACATTTTAACCATCATTTCGTCCCCACTCTCTAGCACAACCTGAATCTCAGTAAGCAAGGCTCAGTAGGTGTTCCATTGAGTGGAACTAATCATTAAGCCTGATCTCTTTCCGGTTTTCACTTCTCTAAGCTTCAATTTCCCCATCTGTAAATTACAGACGATAATAGTTTAAGGAATCATTCATTCCAAAGATAAAAGAGGATATAAATGTGAAAACATTTATAAACGCTGAAAAGCAATGCAAATTAAGTTAGAAAAGATTTGAAAGCTGTTGCTGTGTCATGACTTCTTAGTATGAATAGATAACATTTTAGCAGTTCAAACCCACTGCCAAATTTCTCATGGGCATCCTTCTAATAAGTCCTGGGGTCGCACATGCCTCCGACTCTGCTCAGGATCACATATAAAGAGTAATTTTAAAAAGGTATTCCAACTTTATTTGCAGCTCTCAAAGAACATCAGAGAACACATTTATGGTTACAGAGTTACACTTGGGTTCCATTCTATTCTCTGTCTAAATAAACCCCAAACTCTTTCTCTAGGACCTAGTTGATTGGGCTTTTGGTTACCTCTCTTTTCCCTTTCTTCCAGCACTTTGAAGGTTGACTTAACTCCTTCCTAGATAAATTATTCCCCTTCTCTTCTCAATTCTCCACTCAGGTCTACAGTCTCTTTACCTTAAATTCTACATCACAAATATATCAAGCGAGGACAAGCTAGAAAACACTGCCTGGGAGAAAAATAGATATTCATATCTCAATAAATCATCCCAGAGTGTAAGGTTTGTTATGGAAGCCAGTAACATTATTTTCATTTAATGTTTTAAGAAGAAGGTTTGTAAACACTTTCTGCTGTTTTAAGTGGTCCTTTCTTGAAAGAAAGAAAGAAAGAAAGAAAGAAAGAAAGAAAGAAAGAAAGAAAGAAAGGATTGCTCACCATTGCTCTACCTCTCAAACTTTCACTTAGACATCTCATGATTGATTCTACCATCTTTATTTATATGACTCATATTTACACATCACGATCTAATTCCCTCTTGCACTTCCTAAATCTGTCACTGTCCTTGTAATGTCTCCTCCTTAATGCCCCTTTCATATTCTCAAACTCAACATACTTAAAAGCAAACTCATATTCATTCCAAATTTAGCTTCCCCTCAGGACTTCCATATTTCCATTGTTGGCATTTTAAGAAACATGTTTATTGCCCAGGCTGTAGTATTATCAGAAGACAAAGAAAATGGGGCCAGAGAGAACTAATTAAGAGAATTGCATGCACTATGTAGAAGAAACACACTGCATTCAGATTTGCAGACATGGTGTTTTGGGTTTATTTGGAATGACCAGAGAGGTGGGTGAGAGGTAAACTCTAAATACTAGTATCAGCAACTTAAGAGTGTTATACTTTTCAGCCTTAAAAGTTCACATAAACATTTTCAGATATTGGTGCCCAGTTAACAGTTTTGAGATTGAGATAGAGAAAGACTGCCTACACGAGGTGCCACATTTATGCTTGTAAAAGACTATTCACAAATTTCACAGAGAGCTTGGCTATTTGTAAACAAAATACAAATCAGCAGGGAAATTGTCATGACCTTCCTTCCTTTTGTTATCCCATCAACACATTTAAACTGTTCTGTTGGTATCAGATGCTTAGCTAGGGAAGTTCATAATCTAGTCCTGGTTTAAACATATATACATATTTTAGTTTTTATTTGAGAGAGAGAGAGAGTGGAAGTGAAAGGCAGAAGGAAAGAGAGAGAGAATCTCAGATGGACTCCATGCTCAGTGCAGAGCCCGACATAGCTTGAATGCATGAACCATGAGATCATCATGCTCTGAGCCAAAGTCAAGAGTCAGATGCTTAACCGACTGAGCCACCCAGGCAGTCCTAAAAGTGTCTTTAAGTAACAAAGATGATCAGATTCCAGGCAGGAAGTTTGGCTCTAATACTGAGAAGAAACATGCCTTGATTCATCCAGATGGGCTTTGCTATGAGCTCAGACCCAGCAAATGCATCCATGTCTTAGGCAGAGATCTGAGTTATCTTGACATCACCTTGAACTGTGAGCAGGGAGTAGGAATAATGGAAAACTCCTGGCACTTTATTTGAATTATTTAACTGAGCTTTTATTTCTATTTTTTTGGTGTGTTTTGTTCAAGAAAACCTCCATACTAGGTTTAAACCAAATTAGTGAATTTTTTTTCCCCAAAGAGATGAACTTTCTAGATCTATAAGCAGATTGCTTTACCATAGGTTTGGTTGGGAGTAGGGGTTGGAGTCCTCCTAAAGGAGTAACTGTTACTAGAATAAAGCTTCTTCTTCTTTTTTTTTAAGTTTACTTATTTATTTTTAGAAAGAGAGAGAGCACAGAGGAGGGGCAGAGAGAGAGGGAGATAGAGAGTCCCAAGCAGGCTCCTCACTGAAGTGCAGATCCCTACGTGAGGCTTTAACTCATGAACCATGAGATCATGACTTGAGTCAAAACCAAGAGTCAAGAGTCAGACATTTAACCAACTGGGCCACCCAGGTGCTCCTAGAATAAAGCTTGATTTTAAAAAGGCCAGCAGGATAACACTCTGGGCAGTTATCTACCCTGGCAAAAGTGTATATAAACACATTTGTTCAGGACCAACTCGATCTTGCCCCACAGTGGCCTCACTCTATATTTGGAAACTAAGGTACAGGGCAATGCCCTTTAACTGAGGGTATCTAAGGGAAACTATAGGCTAGATATTATGTAAAATAGAACCAGGAAACACTATGCTCTAATGTATCATGGGATAAAAGTTTAATATAATCAGGAGCTTCATCCATAAGATTATTTTAGCATCTTTTAGTCTCTTTCCCAGCCTGTATCCCGCCTGTACTTTCTTGCAGTCATTTGATACTTTGTCGTCTATTTTTCACACAGCCTGGACCCCTCAATGATTAGTTGAGTTAAAAAGATATTAACTACAGGGCTGACCAAAGATCACCCCCTTGAACCCCTGGCTTCTCAAGCAGATAGGAAGTTCTTATCTATCCAAACACATCTATAGGATCTTGTCTAACTTGTCTTTGCAAGACTTCACGTGGTTGCAATATTGGGTAGAGGCACTCTGTGCCTTGTTTTGTTGTTGGTGTTATTGTATATGCTTGGTGATGAGAAGATGATATCTGGTCTGATGAACTCTTGGCAAGACAGGAAATTCATAGTAGGATGCATAAGGCCAAGTTTCTTGTCCCTGGCATTTTATGGCAATGAGGCTTCTAGAACGCCTTTGATGATCTGATTCAGAGGGGAGCAAATATGGGTTTTGGGGATTTTTAAAATCAGGACTCAGTATCCAGGTTGGAATTGAGGATTCTGTCATCTGAATTGCATCCATTGGTGTTGAGCAGTACAGTGGCTAGGAGTTTGTCATGGCTATAAAAAAACTGAATCAAAGTTTAGGCTATAATAGTGTTCAGATAACAGGTAGTTATAATCTTCCTTTGGTCAACATTGATCAGACTGCATTTGGAATACTGAACTCACCTCCTAGTACTAGAGTTTAAAAAGATATTAACAGGGGTGCCTGATGTGACTTAGTTGAGTGTCCGACTCTTGGTTTTAGCTCAGGTCATGATCCCAGGGTTGTGGGATCGGGCTCGGTATGGGGCACCGTACTGAGCATGGAGCCTGCTTGGGATTCTCTCTCTCCCTTTCTCTCTCCCTCTTCCCAGCTGGTGCCTGGGTGCTCCCTCTCTCTCTCTCTCAAAATAAATGAACATTAAAAAAATAATTTACTTAAAAAATAAATAAAATTTACAAAAGATATTAACAAATTAAAT